AAAAAGTTCCCTATTTTATTCAAGATCCTTTAAATAACATTAGGTGCCACTACCCTGTGGCCTTTTTCATTCCAGTCCACCAGAGACCAGTCTCTTATTTTTCCCCTCAATCCTATACCATGTTAGTTACATTCTCTTTCTTTTTTCTTGCTATCTGCTGGCTCTCATTCTCCCACTAATGTCCCCATCCCACCCCCCACATTCCGAGAATGCTGTCTCCTTTCTTTTTTACCAACCTAAATTCTGTATTTCTTTCTCAAGATCTATCTTCTCCTTAAAGTTTCACTATTCTATCTCAAAATAATCTTTAATATCTCTGAATCTTACAAAACTTAGTTTGTTTCACTGTTGTCTATCTGCATATTTTATTGCAGTTGAAGTCTTAGTTTTTAAAACTTATGTCATCCTCATAGCTAAACTAATCTCTTTGAGTCCAAGGACAGTTAGATCTCACTTTCTTATGTCTACTAGTGCCTAACACAAAAAAGTAATTTAACACTTAACTTGAAGTGAACTGCTATAGTTTTAAGAAACTCAGCTGTCACATTTGTTGTCCATTCTCTTTATGATGTACTCTGCATTCTGTAATTACTACTGTGACCAAACGTTCCTAACAGAGTTTTATAGCCTGCACAAGAATATCTCGAGATAGCTTCTCAGCACTTAAGAACTCATGATTCAGGATATGGTTGTATTAAAACAAATTCGTAAGTCTCAATCCCCTACTCTGTCACCAGAAATGAGTGTCCTTAAAAAGTTTAGACAAATGGAACGAAGTTATCAGCACACCTTTTGTGTCCCTTTCCACTCCGCCCACATGAGAAAGGCTTGGGAGGCAGAGTCTGGGATGTCTCAGAAAGCTCCGGCTGGCACTCCAGTTTAATTTTCTCAGATAGCTCCGTTTCCTCTCTCTCTTCAGTTTCATAGCCCTGAAACAGCTTATGCCTTTCTTTTTCGTTATCCTTCTTTACCAGCTGCATCCGCCTTTCCATACGTTCAATCCGAGCAAGGAGCTAAAAGAGAGTGGCAAAATGCAGGCTTAAAACATAAAAAAATTAAATGTAGGTACTTAGTCCTATTTAGCAATCAGTATGGTCTACTAGCTCTTTCCATGGACTATGGCAATACAACTTATTTTTAACAGGCAGTTATTACCCTAAATAGTTTTCCTTAACCACAATAGAGAGAATAAGGTACAGTTTAATTTTAGGGGCTAACCTAGTTGGGGAGGGACGTGGGGGAATTTGTAGTTCATTCTTCTGAAAGAAGATCCTCTTCACTGGGAGGGGCCACAACATGCCTTTTCAATGGCATGGTCTCTGCTACTGCTAACCATGTGGCTCCAAGTCAGTTTGGGAGTTTCCAGAATTAACTTTAGGTTCTTTTAAGAGGCCCTAGGTTTCTCCAGATCCTTTCCTCTCTACTTCCATTCCAAAACACTATATACAAGGGTAAAGTCCGAACAGTACATTGAGAAGGAATTAAAAACTCACACAGTCACGGTACCACTAGGGATTGCAGTGTTATTTGAAAGGGATGTGTGTGTGGTGGGGTACCACCTAAGCAATGAACCTCAATTTGAAAGAATTATAATAGTAACAGTACCCATAAATCCCATCAATGATGAAATATGCATATTGCTTTGTACTTGACATAACAGAAGAAACTTATACCTATTTATTTAAATATTGATTAAAAACAGTCAACTCTAATTAAAAAGAAAACTACATAACAACAGAAAATAGAAGTCTATTATCATTGAAAATTTCACATTAAAATGTTCTGAGAAAAGGTGCCAACTGTGCTACTTATACCCTATAATAAGAATTTTATTTGGGTTAGACAGTGATATTAATGTGCCTTCATGACATCTACTTAGCTGCATAGATTTCAGTATAGGCCAACAACAATTAGAATAAGAGAAACAAGCTTAAGCAACACTAAAACTCCAATACACAACAGAAGCAGTGAATGCCAAGTTCAGACTGACACTCTATCCTTAACTCACCCCACTTTTCCTGCTTAGGAAAATCTGCAAAGGATCCACTACCTCAGGAACTGAGCAGAAACCGCCACAATCAGCAGAGAGCCCCCCTGTCAGCCATACTCTCATTTCATCTCGTTTTGATTCACAGCCTGAACATTACTTAACCAGTTTGTGGGAGACATTTCCTTGACATTTCTTCTCTTTCACTGGTCCTTCTCTTCCTGGCCCCCCCCCCATGTAAGGACATGATGTGTTGTAATTACAGTACCATCACACCCCTAGACTGCAGTACAGTAGCTAAGCAGTGCCACCTCCATGTTGAGTAACTTCCACAAATCAACACCATGAGGTATTTTAATGAGACCTGCCCCAGCTCCCATTCCACCTTGCAGAATCTATTCTCCAATAAAACAGCCGCTGCCTGATGCGATTCATTTGAAAAGCAAACAAAATGAATAGCCTTCTGCTCTCTTGCTCAGCCCTTGGCACACAAAACGCGAGAGAATGAGAGAGAAAGAGAGAGAGACAGACAGACAGACAGACACACTGCTGCAGCCTGAATACAATTGTAAAAATCATGTTTATTTTTAGGCAGCTGTAAGGTATGCTAGCACAGTAATACCCCATCACCACAGCTTTGCTGATATCTGAAGGAACATGTTTTCAATGCATAAGATGCCCTTAACTACTGCTGCAGTAAAAACAAGCCTATATAGTCATGCTCCTCAGAAGTACAAAGAAATAATAAATGACTTTACTACTACCTTAAGATTCTAAAAGAGCGATTTTGGGGAGGCGGGGGGAATCTACTGAACACATTTAATAAGCTTACTTTCCCCTGATGCCTTAAAAATCTTCCAGCCTCTAATCACCGTGCTGGTCAATGGGTCAGGTTTTAGAACAGATTCCCATTAAAAACTGAAATCAAAAGCGGTGATCCTCTTAATAGAATTTAAGAAAATTAAAACAGGATATCACTGTGAATCACCTCTATCCCTCTGCCAAAAGGCCTATTACCCTATCTAAAGATGCTACAGCAATGGTTAGAGCAACAGCTGCTATATCTCTCTTCTCCAGAATGCATTCTAACGCAAAAGCTCTTTAATTTAACCCCTTCCATAAAGCCACCACATATACATCCCACCTTTTCATTTTCAACCCCTAAAAAATCCGGTCTTTTCCTACTCTAAACGTCTTTCCCACAAGTCTGGGGCTGTCATTTTAAATTAACCCTTTGGCACCTGAAACCTCCCCTCCCCCTCCGCCTGGGAGGTTGCCCTTTAACCCTTCCCTCCGACCCAAAGTGTCTGTGAGCCTGGCTCCCAAGGACCCAGCACCTAACATACTCCTTCGCTGGTGGACAACCTTCTTACCCCTAACCAAGGGATACCTTAACCTCCTACAGGCCCCCTTTCCCCGAGCATGCGCACGACGCGCGCCTCGTCCCGAACGCAGATTAACCCCTCCCGTACCGTGTCTCTCTCTGACTTCAGCTCCTCGATCTCCTTTTCCTTGGCCTGCAGCTGCTGCTGCTGCTGCTCGATGAGGTCCAATTGCAGCAGAAGGATCTGTTTGAGGCAGGCGGCCTGACTGGAGGCTCCTGAACCGCCGCCACCCCCGAGAGGGCTCTTCCTCATACTCTTCCATCTGCCCTCACTGGCCGCCAGGGTCCCGGCGGTGGCGGTGGGCGCGAGGGGTGGTGGCCCAGGCAGAGGTAGTGGTGGGGGTCCTGCTGGGTCCGAGGCGGTGGCAGCTGGGGGAGCCGCCCCACCCTTGTCCCCAGCCCAGGGCGTAGGCTCTTTGGCCGCCGCCACGAGAGAGCCCGTCTGAATGGGCAGCACCGCCTGATACTTGGGTCGGGGGCTGCAGCCGGCTCCGGCTGCCGCTGGCTCCCCCCCAATGCCGGCTTGTTTGGTGGCCGGGGGCGGACAGGGCAAGGGCACCGAGCCGCCCCAGCTCTCTTCCTGCTGCCCGGGG